TCTACAATTTCAATAAAATTTAAGCCGATGATATGATTGTATCTTACGCAAACTTTGTTTGATTTTTGATAAACCTTGTGTAATGTTATTGCGATCCTGAATTAATTAAACTCGCGAACAGACTAATTATTTTTACTAAAAGAAAAGTGATCCGTGATAAAAATGCGTTCTAAAACCTATAATTTTGAAACCAATCATAGTTAAATTTAAACTAAAAAATGTTTTCTTCGTTTCTTTAAAATTAGTAAAAGATCTGATAATTATTTTTTTCATTTTCTTAGTACTTTTATCAATCAAAAATTTTATATTAAAGCTCTTCAAATTGCATAAGCAGCAAATGAAAGTTTGCTCGGAGACAGCTCTTTTTCTAATCCATCTGTGCACGTGGGTATGCATCGGAGGGCTGAATCAGTATATCTTTAATAGGCTGCCGCGTGGCCCAAGGTGTGTCACTTATCGCCTACTACTTTCTTTTATTAATTGTACTTTCTTTTCGTGGATGTCGTTGAATTTAGTACTATTTTGCGACTTCCTCTTTTTGGCTGTTGGTTACTTATTTTAATATGTGTATCTCCCAGGCAATGAGTTTTTATAACAAGATTTTTTCAGATAGTTACATAAATTTGTGTATGTACCATTGTTGAATATCAATGGTATAATTTTAAAGATTGGTATACAAGGCCCTTATTTTGTCGAGAAAGTTTTTCACTTGAAAATAGGTACTCACGCGAGTATTAATCAATTTTTCGTACTTTATATTCTACTGTAAATGTTACGTTCAGTATCCTCATAGTGGTGTAAGTGAGAAAAATCAACACATATAATCTGTTACTATCTGATGGTCTATAAATTCGTATGATTTGTGAGAGCTAATAATTTAATTCGCATTCGAAACCAACACTTGAATGAATTACTTTTTGTGAAAGTCCAAGTGTAAAATTTTCCAGAAAATAAAGTGCAAATAAAAATAGTACGAGTGTAAAGTTGAATTCGTCAGAGGAAGCCGTGACAGCGTCGCAGTGCTGCAGTTACAAAGTACTAAAATCTGTCTCGGCACCGCCGCGCGTTGGAAAACGAAACTTGCCTCCGAGAAGTATACGGTGTGGCCCTCTGCGCTTGAGGTTACTCTAAAAGCAATCTTGGCTCACCAGATTAGCTTAGCCGAGAAATAATAAGCGGTTGCTTCGAGAGTTCAACTGCTGCAGTTGCACCTATATACACGTATATATATAGGGGGCTAACTAACGCACCGTTTCCCTGTATACACCACACGCTATATCCATTGAATACCGGTCTGCAGTACTCGAGACGCGCGCACACGAGTTCCAATGAAATTTTTACTGCGGAAAAACGTTGAAATTAAGCTCGAGGTTTTCATAATGTACAAACTGTAAGCCCGCCCGCGTTTCGCGACGTATTTCATCTCGTGCGCTCGATATTATTGCGCCGCCGCCCGAGCGATCAAATATTTGAGAATTGAAAAGGAGAAAAACTAATAATAGGCTTTTTTCCAATTTTCTTATATGGCAATTCGATTGGAATACAGTATATTATAAGCACGAGCGAACGAGTTCGAGCGCGTGCGTGCGAAGAAATAAAAAAAGCTAACGGTCTATCGTAAATGTTTGAGAGTTAGCCTTGCCTTTCCTGACTTCCCAAGCGATGAGGAGGCATGGCTGGGCAAGAGAGGGAGAGAGAGAGAGAGTACAAATAGCACGCCACAGCCAAAACAATCGGTCTATGCTTCTCTCTTTCTCTCTATACACCCAAGCAAGTAACCCAGCAGCAACACGCACATATACACACTCACACACAAATTCACACGAGCGCAATGCAGCTTTTGAAATCGTAATACACCTCGTGTACGCGCTTGGCTTTCGCAAGGAGTCGCGCAATACGTCTGTATATGTGTACCTCTGAACTCTGTAGCTTGTCGAGGATGACTATATATACGTATGCACGCGCAGCAGCGCACTTCAATGTAAGCGCGCGCGCCTTCCCCAAGCCTATTCTCGGCAATATACTCTAGGTCAAATATTTACATTACAATACGTTTACATAGCTGGCCCCACCTGACTCTCTGCACGCTCGAATATTTTTCGCCCAAAACTGTATAATTGTTGAATACAGTTGAATTTCAAGATGAGACCTGAGCTTTGTTTAGAGTCCACTGCAAGTGGCAGAGCAGCTTCGCAACAATGAACAAAGTTATGAATTATTCAATTATTCGACAAATAATTTTAGTGGAATTCGAACAAATTGAGGAAGCGTTTAGATTTTAAGGAAGCCATGGCTATTCCGAAAATCAGATTTTCAATCACATTTTGTAAAACATCCAACTGAATAATTAGCTCTAAAAAGCTCTATCGCAATCTTCATTTTGATGTTTTAATATTCGGCACCGTACATTTTTTAAGATAAATATTCAGTAGAGATTGAAAATTTGATTTTCTGGCTGATATCGCCATCCCCTTGAGCGATAAAATACTTCAAAATTAGTCAAAATATAACTCAGTGGAAAAAGCATGTGCTTATTCTCACGTCGTCTAAATATGAATTCCACTTTATATTTAACACATTTATAGGACCGTAGAATAAATGTTTATCAAGTCGGCAAAGATCTAAATAACACAGCAAGCTGGGAAATGAAGGGACAAAAAAAGAAAAACGCAGTTCTGTGCCCCTACTCGACGAATCCGATGTATTTTAATTTGCCCCGCGTACGAGCTCGACTCTGCGCGTATTACACGCATACCTCTGACACGCGCAAAACGAAAAATATGCCTCCTCTCCCCAATGTGCGTACATCCATACCCATATGAACTTATGCTGCTGCTCGCTGGCTGCGATGTGAATGAAAAAAAATGACTTGAGTGTATTTTACACACACGTCTACTGTACATATATAGGTTTAGCTGTACGCGAAAAAACAGTCAGAAGTGGGAGAGTAGGACTGCGTCAAGGGATGGGCTCTTCGGACGGAGCGAGGAGCTTTTTGATCTGTCGCTTCCCTGAGGAGCAAACGACGAAGTTTTAGACCCGAAGTAAAAAGTAAATTACATTTATTCGTATTTTTTATTTTGTGTTTTGCAAGAACTTATGAAAAATCTTGTATGATTGAAAAAAAAATTGGAATAAGGTATACGAGTTAAGCATTTTATCAGCAATCAAGTTTTATTTAAAGAAAATGTATAAATTTTTTCGAAATGATTGAATGAGCAAATTAAAGAAACATTTCTTCGTTTCACAATTCTATAGTTATGCCCTAATTTATAAATACAAATGCAGAATAAACGATTTTTAAAACTTACCAAAAGTTGCAGGAAAAATAGTTTTGGAACCTTCCGTAACGCTTACTTGTCAGCGTTCAGAAAGCAAAAAATGTCAAGGACAAATCGACTGAAAAATGCTTCCTTGCAAAATTCCTGAAAGATTCGTAAAAACTTACTGGAATCGTTCGTGATAACTTCTTCAAAGAGTACTAGTAACATTTCAGAAATCTTTTGAGATCAGTTTACGAAAAGAAAACCTGAGGAAAAATAAAATGGTTCACGATAAATCTCCGACCAAAAGATTATGGGCACGAACGCTACAAAAATATTATTGTAAATTTACAGATACCTTTTCTGTAAGTTTATCAAATTATTTTTCGATTTTCCTCATGGAAATTTCGTTAAAATTAAAAAAATGATTGAGAAGAAAGTATAACAATTTTCATAAAAAATAATACAATTTTCAAGATAAAAACTCAGATGAATTTAAAAGAAAATCAGAGGGAATACTCATACGAAAAACTAATGTCAACTATTTGTGAGGTTTTATAAATGTATAAATGGAATCCAAAACTAACTTATTTGAAAGTTTCATCGAAATATCCATGGAAACATTTTGGTTTTTCGATAAAAAAAGTAAGGTATAAAAAAAAATACCTGCAAGGTTGTATAGACAAGTTAAACTGGACCATTATTTGCATTATACCATATAAAATCCTAGTAATTTTCTCAAAATGTTCAAGAAAATTATATTTTTGGTCTGAAAAAGACGCCCTATTTGCGCAGATCATAGCCAGATCTAACAAGCAAGACTTTCGTCACCCGAACGTAGAAAGGCGATATCATCAAAGTCGGTGGTAAAAGCATACCCACGTCCAATGTTAATAAAATGTCTATTTTTTGAATCCGAGTTTAAAGAATATCACTTCTCTGCGCTGTTGCAACGATTTTTAGACTTCCGATTTACATCTTCTTATGACTCGTTGACTAGTTTGTGAATCCATGAAAAACAAGTATGCACGTGTACTGCGCGATAATAGTAAGTGGTCTGCTATTGAGCGAGCTACTACTGTCGGGCTCTCGCTATAGTGCCGAGAGTCAGCTTGCTCGAATCAACTGCGACATGTAGTCTGCTCGGAGTTCGTGCATCTGAAACGTCAATGAGCCGAATTGTGGCGTCGTGTATCTCGGACTCTTTGTCTTTTGATCGCTCGCCTCGCTCACAACACACAAACACACGCATTATACTTGCCGCGCGTCGTGCACGTAGCTCAGTAAACAACACATCATACTCAAGTATAGCTCGAGTCAAAACCGTCTGTAAATTAAGGTAGTTTGAGACGACGCTAGGTAACCAGAAAGTATCGACGAGAGACCGAATCGAAAAATGCATTTAACATTGAAATGATTTTATAAATTTTATAATATGATTTTATAAATTTAAATTTAAAAAACATTTAGAAAATTAATTTTTAATTTATAATTTCATATTTTTTTACATCAGCTGTACAACAGTTGCAAGTGGTCTGATGTTTCACTCCTTTTTACACTACCAATTTAGTATCATGAGTGGATTTTGGAATTAATATTAACATGGCATAAATAATGTTTACTCATATATTGATAAGAATTGAAGATACTTGTTAAAATACTCATTGTTTTAAATTCTATTAAAAAAGTTCACAAATTAAAATATTTTACTTGTACTGACACAATGCATTCTCATGACTAAATCGCACAAAACAGCTGCATTCTAAATGTCGTATCATTCACGTTGATCGGACCGTTATTGTTCAATGTGTCTTGACTGGCACCGTATTCCAATAGCGATTTCGACAGCTCCAAGTCGCACTTGGACACTGCCACGTCCAAAGGGGTCTGTTCAGAACTATCGCGGGCGTCCATGCTGGCTCCTTTGGCGGCGAGCATCTTGACGATCAGATTGGCTGGATTTCTCTTGTCGCAGGTGTAGTCGGCCGGGCCGCAATCGCACTTGTGCAGCCACGAGAGCCGATGAAGCGGAGTCGACTGCTCTCGGTCCCGCTGATTTGGATCGGCCCCGAGCTCCAGAAGGAATTTCACGACGTCCGCTCGCCGGTACTGGACGGCGACGTGCAGCGGCGAGCACTCGTACGTGTCGAGATTCACGTCAGCACCCTCGCCCACGAATCGTTGCACTGCTTCGATGTTGCCGACGAAGCAGGCTCCGTGCAGGTAACTGTATCCCTCCTCGTCGATGAGGTTTTCCGTCGAATTTTTCAAGAAAAAATTAATGAGAGACGTGGTCGGTCCGTCAACGATGCCGTGGTACTTGTCGACGCATCCGCGCCGAGCCAAACAGTGCACTGCCGACCTTCCATCAGCTGATCTTGCCTCGTGGATTTTGAACGACATGATCTCCTGAAGAAACACCACTGCTTTGAAGTGTTTACGTTCTAACGTGAATTGGAAGAAGTCGTTTATACTTGGAAATAGGCTTTCATCTCTCAATAATTCCTCCATAACCTTAAGCTCTATATGATTCTTTCGAGCAATGTAGAAATTTTTTTCTATAATTTTACAAAATTGGACGTATCTAAACTTTGGGGTTTCACTACCGCTCAAGAATCTTCTAAGTTGATACATGCACAGAGTATAATGGCGATCGGATTTTGATTTTGATTTTGATGCCATTTTTTAGTAAACCGATGGTAATATTATCTTTTATGATCACGAATTTTGATTTCTTACACTCAACACTGAGCATGTGGGGTTGAAATAAACACTGCTTTAGGACTTCAAAGATAGAAGGTGACAAGAATGGTTCTACGTATGTACACAGACTGATTCCCGCGTCTCTTGATTGAGTATTCGTTTGCAAACTTCACCACGTCAACATGTTCCACGATGGCGCGCGGGTGCGCCTCGCACGTGTGCTGTGCGTACTGCGCATGGGTCCGCTCGGACCCGCGAAAATTATGATTCCCGCTGTTCGTATTGAAACAGAGCATTTGAAAACAGATATTGCGATTGAAATCAAATACTTAGGTGCAAGTACAATTTTTTGTAAAAAAAAATAAAATATTATTAGACTACGCTCGGCGGGAGCCAAATGTTACTCTAGTTACAAAAAAATTTTGTTCTATTCAAATTTTCAAACGGAAGAAAATTCACTTATATGGTTATAAAAATATGGCGCTCATTAATATAACCTTCGTATACAAAAAAATTATAAAATATTTAGGTTTTTTTATCGATTTGACAAATTAATTCTTTTATAATTTTTTGTCATAAAATGCTTCGTTATCAAGTTGAAAAATTATTATACGATTAAAAACACACTTCATTTTTCAACTCGAAAATAAAGCATTTATCAATAAAGTGTGTAGAATTAATAAAAAAAATGCCTAAATTTTTTTAGAAACTTTTAGTTTTTTTTTTTTTTTTTTAACTTTAACATTATTTCGAAAATTAAAAAAATTACTATTGTTGATAAGTTTGAAATCCACGTGGATACTCGAAAAAGCATAACAGAAGGTTCAAGTGTCTTGTCGGATAAGTTGAAATTCCAAACAATTTTCATGTGTTGCATGTTAAATTTCTGTAACATACCCGCAATACAATAAAATGTATATGCGATTGTTTAAAAAAATATACAATTAAAAATGTCCTTAGTAAGTTTTCATGTTATGTGGACCAAACGTATTTCTAAGAATTTGTTATGAAAAATTTCAGTTTTTAGTTAAATATGGTAAAATAATTGATATAATATAAATAAAAATAATTAGATTATTGAATATTTATTTTATTTTACGCAGAGGAGCTCAAATTCCAACTTGACAAATAAGAGTTTTATGTCAACACCAACGGCATCAAAGCACGAGGAAAAAATATGCTACTTTTCTTTTCTCCAAACAAGAGGAAACAATCAACGAAGTTGTTATTTGTAAAAACTGATGTATTATTTTTCCGCTTGGCCTTATTGAAGAAAAAACGGGAGCAATGCTTTGGTTCGAATTTATTTTTGTGAGAAACACTGCCACATGTATGTTTGTGTGAACGTGTAAAACGTGTACACCCTACATAGCTGCCACAGTACGAGGTCAGGGGAGTGATAACCGCACATTATGTGATTTCTACTGGGAACGCAGGAGCTGTAGTTAACTGAATGATTGAATTGTGATGTGACAATAATGGAGATTTTCCAGTTCACCTTCTCCCATTTTTTCTTTCTCTCTGTCTCTTTATTTATTTATTTATTTTTTTATCAAGTTTTAACTTTTAAATTTTAAATTTTAACTTAAAGTTGACTCATTTTACAAACCAACTTTGCAATACTTGGCTTCCAAACCTAAGAGTTATTTATTATTCATCGAAGATATAATATTAACCTTTCAGAGGAGAAAATATCCCATGCTTGATGTGATAAATCAGCGTTTATTGCACGCGCGCGCGCCCTCATAAATAATTGTACTAACATCAGCAATCTGAAGAGCGTGGAACCGATGAAAATATACCTATACGAGCCTCCCTGTAAATATTGATTTTCAATTACGCGCATACAGAGCTCAGTTCAAAGTGTAACACGCATATATATTACATATACGTATATAAGGCGGGCGTGTAATATCCGCTCGAGTTAAATTTTTCCGAGTTACTTTTTTTTCTTTATCGTGCATAGATTCTTTTGCCATTTGCGTATGTGTATGAACTCGGTGCACGTTATATTGCTTATACCGAAGTTTCATGCTTCAAAAGACAGCTTCATTTAACGAATTCCAAGCAAGAAGTTTCTAATCAAAGAGCGGAATCTCCGAAGTTTGAAAAATAGACGTACAGAAATGAGATTTCGAAAATGCGATGAACGATACAACAACTTATTTATAAATATAGGGAATTGATATGAGAAAATGTTGATGATAGAAGAAATTCATTACTGTAAAGAAGTAGGGAATCATATTGACCATTTAGATTAATTGTGTGCATACATATGATTTGATACAAAATTTGTGTAACAGTTAATCGTGATAATCGAGCATGTCTTCAATTGAATCTATAAATATTTTAGTGTTAATTATTCTATCTACAATATAAACCATTTTAATGATGAATCTTTCGACATCAGTTGAAAATTTTCTTTTCATAAATTTGAATCTTAAGCTCTGTTTATAGTTCATTTTTATATTTGAGCTGTTTTTATATGGAAATTTGATTTATTCAATCAATTTAAGATGATCAAGTTCGAATACTTTTCTTATATTTTCCTTTATTATTATATATTTTACTTTTAATAAGTTCATTATCTTTGAATTCAATTTAGTAGTCAAACGAAACGGATCGACACAAAATCTGCTTAAAGGTATCATGAATTTATATCAACTTTATTCCAAAGATTTTATTCATACGATCGCTAACATATCTTGACACTTGACGTGCTGCCCGTCATTTTTATGTAAAAACAAAAACCCGCAGGTATCCAGGCTTTTTTACTTCTGCTGTCGCATCGTACAATCAATTTAAGTGAAACTCTCTTTAAGGTTGCATCCGGGCGGTTCTTGGTGAATATGTATGATCTATGTATAGTCATACCTTTATCGTTGTGGGTGGACATGAAAAACCCCAACTTCAGAGTCGATTACCAATGTAATTGAGCTCTTGACTATTGAAAATTCGATTAACTATACTCCGTGAGAAAGACAATTTTATACGTAGATATGCATTTTATGTCTAAAAAAATAATTTGAATCAAAAATTGCACGTTGAAGTGAAAATCTCATTACTTTAGAAATGAAATTATTATTTTTCAGTAGGTTAAGTCTATGCTGATAAGACATTGCCATTGAAATGAGATTTTAATATTTTTCAGTAAATTATATTTTCTCGATCGTTTGTGGGCATTTGAGAAAACGAAGGAACCGAATGAAATTGCAATCCATTGCTTTTCGAGGCTTATTAAATTTTATACATTATTATCTCCGCACATTTTTAGTATTTTTTCTACATGATGGTAATGACACTTTTGCATTTCATGCCAACCCTCCACCTTTTAACGTTTCAACGTCGACACCAACAATGCAGTATGAGATAGCGATGTAAAGTAGGAAAGTATTCGATAGCAAAAATGTAGTTCCCTATTTATGCTCTCGCTTTACAGTCTTGAGTTTATAACGAAAAATTAACTCACTTGAGGCTGTTAAATTCTTAAAAATCCGACCTTTATTTATTCAACTTGATTCGCGCGCTCGCACCAACGAGCAAGCTGCATGTGTGTAAGATCCATACATATACATACGTTTGCTTGACTTACAAATAAGGAAAGAGAGCGAGAGAGCAAGAGAGAGAGAGAGAAGGTAGCGCCGAGTCATAAATATTTCTCGCGCGCGACTGCATGCATGGGTCGCGTAAATATTTTACGATCGCCGGAGTGGCCCTTTAAATTTTCCGTTATCACCAGATCACTTGAGGCCGATACTGCAGCCGAGTTCACGGCGGCGAATTTACAACCCCACCAACAACTATACCTTAGAAATTTCAATACTTGCCGGCTGCTGCTGGTGCTGCTGGTGCTGCTGCTACGCTTGATGCAAACTCCATATTGCTCATATATATAATATTTTTTCTCCTCTTACGCTAGTATTCAGTATGTTTTTTCGCTTGAAAACTGAAGTATGAGCTGGAAAATTGACAAAAAAATATCAGAGCACGTTTCTGGACGATGGCATTTATCTGAGAATTTTATAAATTGGGACCAAGATAAAAACGAGCAGTTTCCCGCGCATCGAGAACATTGATTTTATTTTTATTTTTGCTGACTGTCCGAACGCCGCAATATACTCTAACAACACCAATTACAATGCCATACGTTACATCGTAAGAATAAAGATACTGGAATCGTTTCAACTGGCAATTTTTCGAATTCACGTATGTTTTCAAGATATTCAGGGTAGAAGACAAATTAATTATGATCCTAAGGAAATGTAATAGTATGATTTTCAATTATTTTCAGGACTCGTTTGGTTGGAAATACGAATTACATAATCATTTAAGCGATATGGTTGATGTTTAAGCAAATAAGTAAGTGTGGTTACACACTATGCTGCTTTAGTATATATAAGGGGCTAGGTAAAGTTTAAATGCGACGATGGGGAGCAATTTGGAGTATACACGAAAATGCTTCTGGAAATTTCAGGATAATTAATTCTACTCTAAGGTAGTATACTACTTGCGGAATTAAAACCGTCTAGTAGGTTTTTAAAAACTAATTTCGAATAGTTAGAAATAATAAATGTCCGAGCTCTATTGAATCGTTCATTAAACCGATATTACTTTCCATAATCTTGAAAAAAAAAGAAGTGTTTAGCTTGGGGTATATATTGTGCGGTATTCGAAGCTAAAAGCAAACGCTCGAGTTCACGATAAATGATTCAAAAATTCTAATTTCAAAATAATACGTTATTCTTAAAACTTTATTATTGGTAGAAATTATTGCAGATCATAATTACATTGGTAAGTCAGTGCACCTCATTCATACATGCGTGCAGACTCATTCGAACAGCGTATAAGCAAATGAAAATTGTATAAAATTGTACATTGGTCGATGTATCTATAAACAGTCAGTTTGTATAAATTTGTGCATCGCAGGCGGGATGCGAATGAGGTAAAACTTTTTTCGACTCGTACAGCGCATTTATATA